AGCCTCAGACCTGAATCTGCGGGCAAACCGAAGGGTGGGGAGTGTCTTATGGCGTTAGGTGCATTTCGGGTGAATATTTTAAATGACAGAAAGTTTTTTTTTAAACATTTTGTGAAAATATACATAAAAAATCTATCCAAAAAAACTTTAATAATCCAAATGAGTGCTTTTCAAGTCAAGTCATTAGATAAGCCTTATATAGAATTGCACGTCTACCAATTTTAAAACTGAAATCTGTGAATATTAGTTTAGGCTTTGCTAAAACTTATAAAATCGTAACAATTTGAAAAATATATAAAATTTTTAATCTTCATGATACCAGATAAAAGGCAGGCTGCATTTATTCGGAATTAGCAAATTTCAGTCTGCAAAACCGATAAATCCCGTTTTCTAATTATGGGTGTAATCGCGTGAATTGAAATCCCTGGAAACGTGACATCAGAGTTTTATTTTCCCGCAAGTGCCTCCCACATAAACAGTAATAACGCTTTTATTTCTATAACTTTTGAGGCCGACTATTTTCGTATATTGAGATCGATATCAAAGCATTATAATACAACCGCTAGTAATCTAAAATCGCAGATTAAAAGTCAGCTAAATTTCAGTCAATCACTTAATGCCAATGGCTTCCGATTTCACGCTCAAGTCACGTAGCGTGAAACGTTTTCTGTTCACGGCAGAACTGTCAAAATCGTATAGACGTTTACTACTAGCCATGAGGAAAAATGACAGTAAGGGAACGGACCTTGTACAGTCAGTACAGGTCTCTATTTTATTAGGTACGCTCATGTACCTATTGATAACAATATACTTATAAGAATCATGAGGTCGATTTATACAACGGAAGTAAGGGGGTTACCTCCCTTTTTGAAAGTAAAACTAGCATTGGCATACTTATGAACATTTCCCGTGAGAAATAGCCTTCCGTTTGGGAGATCGGGAGAAATGTCGTAAATCTTTGAGTATCCCGGAAAAAACTGGTTAGTTGATAGGTCTGTGTGCTTTGCGTTTAGGAATTAAATTAGTTTCAATTAATATAATGCCAAATTATTTTTATTAAAATTAAATTGCTGGTCTTTTTTAGCTGAAAAGTAGCCGGAAATTGACCTAATGTAAACGGCGAAATTTGCCAGTTGCCGGCTTCTAATGACATCCATGGACAGGATATAAAAAAAATCGAAGGGAAATTTCATCCCAGCGACCACACGTCTCTACTTTTAACACCAAACATTTTTCAAGAATTGAAAAATTCCTTAACATTGACGAATGTTTCAATGCACTGAAATCATAAATTCGCTGTTCACTGAATTATTCAAGCCCTATTTTAAACCATTTCTGTGCACACGAATGGAAATGAAACCAGAAAATATCCACACGGGTCTCGGTGCCGACCGCAGCCGTGAGGAAGATAGTATAGTACTACTGATCATTAGTACATCGATTTCTACCCACTTAAAAAGGGAACTATCCCAAATAAAGTTGGACTAACAAAAGAATTAACGCTAGCTGAAATAGTTTGAAAAATGGCCCAATTTCTGGATTTGCCGTTGGCGATTTACAACATTTCGTTTGAGATGATGGAACCGACATAGATTATGAATTTCAATTAGGTCAGTCATGTCGACAATATTACTAATAATTACTATCACTCAGTATCGATACGGATACCCAATTTTCGCAAAACGTTTTATTAAATAATTTAGCATTATATAACAGTTGTCGTACTAATTATTATAATTTTAATTCTTTGTTTTTTTTGGAAACTATATTTAACACCTCAAGTATCACATATTATTTGTTGGCCAGTTAAACAAGTTGAAAGAACCGACAAACGTAAGGCCTTTCGGCCTTGATTTGATATTTATTTACAATACATTGATTAAAATATATACAAAAAAAGGAAGTTGCTCAATAGGCTACATACCGATTTGAAGGAATAATAGAAATATTCAACAGTGATGTAAAAACAACAATTCTTTGAGTTAAATTGTAGCTTTTAGGCCTAGGCCTTTATAAACATGACTAGTCCTACCATAGCCTATCAGTAACTGAGTAACCTACTTTTACTCTTTAGTCTTTAGACAATAATTTTTTATTGGTCAATGTTATCTTCTGAGTAGAAAATAATAGTAAAAGCAGAATTCTAACAATAATGTAAGCAACGAATGCTGAGAACAATGATAATGAAACAACAGTTGTCCGTTTTTTTAAATTATGTGGTTGCTATGACAACCATCCAAAATCCTTAATAATTCACTAAAATTATACAATTCTTAATATTTTATATTACATATGGGCTATAAATATACATAAGCTAAAATGCTTTCTACTATACTTAAAATGTGGTGATCAATTGGTTTGTCAGGGTAAACACCATTGAAAATGGACTAACATTGCCTTTTTTGGGGTGTTTTCGTTTTGATTGCTATAACAACCAAATATTAAGTAATATACAAGAGTAAAGATAAGTAATTTTAAAAATTCACAAACATATTTACTTGTAAACAAAATTTCTCTTCAAGATCTTAATTCCTTCATATTTTATTTATGTCTTAATAATGTCCAAAATAGACAATTAGCTGCTGCAGAATGTTCTTCAAAAGGGAACTCCTTTCCAGCTCTTGGGAGAAGACATATATATATTTTTTATTTTTTTTTATTTTTATACTCTCACATTTAAATGTGGTCATATATTGTCGTCGCCCCGAGTGACTTTAAATTTATATACAGTGTTTAAGGCCATGGGACGAAGAAGCCTATTGATTTTCAGCAAATTCCGATAATTACTGCCAGAGTTATGGCCCTTGATCACTTCAAAAAATCTTGTGGACGCTCTAGAGGTCAAAGTTAATATCCGATTGACTTTAAATTTATACACAGTGTTTAAGGTCATGAGACGAAGAAGCCTATTGATTTTCAACGATTTTCGATAATTACCGTCAGTGTTATGGCCCTTGATCACTTCAAAAAATCTTGTCGACGCTCTAGAGGTCAAAGTTAATATCCGATTGTCCTTAAATTTATACACAGTGTTTAAGGTCATGAGACGAAGATAATTACTTAATGTGTTGTTACTCTCAATCAGATTTTAATGTATTATAAATGTTTCATTACCGAAAAAAGTAAAATGTGACAACTCTTGTTGACTGCCCGGACGATATAGCTGCTGGGGGGGGGGGGAGTATGTTTCGTTGCCTGGCAACCTATCTTTTTCTGATTTTGATGAAACATGAAATGTAATTTTATAACCCAATCCCAAAGATCTCGGTTCTTTTTGATATTCACACATATCAGATCTTAACTTCCTGAATTATGGCCACTGATTGTATGAAAAATCGCGTTTTTAGCTTGTGGACCCTATAGTGGTCATAATTTTTATGCGATTTAAAAAGAAAAAAACGTTTGAATATATCACCGTTACACCCTAAAGGATGGTGAGTTCGAATTTCATAATCGGACCAAAACTGACAGACAAAATGGCCGCCTCTTGTACTCAAATTGCGTTAAAATATATCATGGTTGTGGATCCTCTAGAGGTCACAATTTTCTTCTGATTTTGATGAAACTTAAACTGTAAGTTTATAACCCAAAGATCTTGGTTCCTTTCGATATTCGCACTCATTGGACCGTAAATTCCTGAATTATGACCCCTGATTGTACAGAAAATCACGTTTTTATCTTGTGGACTCTATAGAGGTTATAATTTTTATCCGATTTAAAAAAATCTTTGAATATATCACCATTACACCCTAAGGATGGTTAATTTCAAATTTTTTAAAAATCTAACCAAATCTCACAGACAAAATGGCCGCCGATCGTACTAAAATAGCGTTAAAAATAAGGAATATGAATGTTGTGGACCCTCTAGAGGTCACAATTTTCTTCTGATTTTGATTAAACTTGAAATATAAGTTTATAACCCAAAGATCTTGGTTCCTTTCAATATTAACGCATATCGGATTGTAATTTCCTTAATTATTGCCCCTAATATGAACGCTCTATAGGCTAAAGTCAATGTCTGATTGACTTTAAATTTATACACAGTGTTTAGGGTCATGAGACGAAGAAGCCTTTTGATTTTCAGCAGTCAAAGTTAATATTCGATTAACTTTAAATTTATACAGTGTTTAAGGTCGTGAGACAAAAAAGCCTATTGATTTTCAACGATTTTCGATAATTACTGCCAGAGTTATGGCCCTTGATTTCAGCAATTTCGATAATTGTTGCCAGAGTTATGGCCCTTGATCACTTTGTAAATTCTTGTGGACGCTCTAGAGGCTAAAGTTAATATCTGATTGACTTTAAATTTGTAAACAGTGTTTAAGATCTTGAGACGAACAAGTATATTGATTTTCAAAGAATCTTTATGACTTGAACAGCTAAATCCATGATGTTAAAAGTTTTGTATACTAAAAGTTAGCACGGGGCAGAACTTTATAAAAACCAAACAAAATCTAATGATTTTCTGATAATTACTTAATGAGTATTTACTCTTAATCAGATTTTAATGTATTATAATTGTTTTATTACTGAAAAATGTAAAAATATGTGACAACTCTTGCTGACTGCCCGGACGATATAGCTGCTGTGGGCGTATGTTTCGCTGCCTGGCAAAATATCTTGGTTTAGCTTGTTCTCAATCCTTCTCTTGCAAAAATATGGGCGTATCCTGCCTGGCAGCCGCTGGTTTGATAATTACTTAATGAGTTGTTAATCAGATTTTAGTGTATTATAAATGTTTCATTACCGACAATAGTAAAAATATGTGATGACTCTTGTTGACTGCGCGGACGAATTAGCTGCTGTGGGTGTATGTTTTGTTGCCAGGCATCCTATCCTTAGTTTATGGTAAATTCTTTCATAGCAACCGACAAAAAAAAATAAAATATTGCTACATTCCTTGTACACTCCTAGGATGACTTCGCTGTTGCTACTGTATGTTTGATTACGGACCCTCGCTTTTATATTGTTTACTAACTCTAGTTTATTTATTATAATAGGTACGAAAAACCAGTCAAGCGGCATTGTTAGTTTTACTTGAGCAAGAATTGGTCGATAAAGGTTAGTAAAGGTTCTTTGATCACACTGTTGAAATCCACCGACTTACAACAACCCCTGCCTGCATGTGATTTATTGAAGTAAAACATCCCAATTTTTATACGCCCACATTTAAATGTGGTTGTATATTGTCGTCGCCCCCGTCCATCCGTCGGTCCTATTGATTTTCAACGATTTTTGATAATTACTGCCAGAGTTATGGCCCTTGATCACTTCAAAAAATCTTGTGGACGCTCTAAAGGTCAAAGTTAATATCCGATTGACTTTAAATTGATCCACAGTGTTTAAGGTCATGAGACGAAGAAGCCTATTGATTTTCAGCGATTTCTGATAATTACTGCCAGAGTTATGTCCCTTGATCACTTCAAAAAAATCTTGTGGACGCTCTAGAGGCCAAAGTTAATATCCGATTGATTTTAAATTTATACACAATGTTTAAGGTCATGAGACGAAGAAACCAGGGCTCGACAGTGCCGGCGGCCCCGGCGGCAATGGCCTTCAAATTTTAGAATTTGGCCGCAGTTCGTGGCCGATTTTTAACTATCCACGGCCATGTATGGTCGCCGATTAGTGCTGGGTATGAGAGTTATTTTTACTGTCGATAATCGGTATCGAAACAATCTGATTTTCACGGTCATAATGAAGACTGAATTGTGTGTTTTAAAGTCAAACCGTACGATGTTGTGATACTCCAATAGATGTTTTTGTTCGTCTAATTAATGATAAACTGTCTCATATTATGTATAAATTGTTCTTTATTTTTAAATAATGTAGCTTTGGTTATGAATGACGAAATACCATTGATAGGCCTATGTATGTGCAGGAACCAAAATAAAATGAGCACGAGTCGATTCAAAACATTGCGTACGTGAGCGCGACAAATACCAACATGGTGGACAAATCGTTGTCGATTCGTGTGCAAAAACTAAAGAAAATGTAATAGCCTAAAGAGCTTGTTATCACAAATGCGTCAATTGTTTATTATTATTAAAAAAATACAGCCTTGATTCCGAAAGAAGAAATACAAACGTTTTTGTCAACCATCATTGCTATTGTCATTTATAATGAGCAGACGAATTCTGAAAGGGGAAAAACTGAATTATTTACACATCCGGGTATCTCCAATTTAGAGAATTCCATGATATGGCGATTATTGTTTCAAACTAAAGTATTGTTTAAATTTGGGTGAATTTATTTTAACATTTTTTTTAAAAAGATACATTTGAGATTGAGTCTTTGAAGTAAATATAAAGTGACCAATGTAGGCTATTGTATTATTATATATATATATATATATATATACGAAGGATTAAGTCACAGAAAACATCGAGTCGACTCCTAGTCCTACGCACACACGAAAAATAGACGAAGAGAATGATACCGGTACTCGATAGTGCTTTTTTGCATATCTTATCGATACTATCGATATTTACCCAGGTCTACCGATGATATAGTAATACTTTCAACTCTCAATATGGCTACATAGTACATGCCGATTTTTAAAATATTTTTTAGAATAAAAAATCGTACTAAAAACAGTACGATAAGAATTTTCTCCCTTAAAAAAGGATGCATTATTTTTGTGAAAGTTATAAAAATATTGAACGTGATGTGATAGGCAGGCCTGTAACAACATTTTGACTGAGAAACAAGATCTACAATAAACAGATTTACATATGATCGACATATTAAAACCTAAATAAGCTGATAATATCATAATTAATGACTTAAAAATTGGCCTTGGATTTTCAATTTTTGGTCTTGGATCAAGGTTGCACTTTGGCCTTACATCGAAAAAACGAATTTCGAGCCCTGGAAGAAACCTATTGATTTTGAACGATTTCCGATAATTACTGCTAGAGTTATGGCCCTTGATCACTTCAAAAAATCTTGAATAAAGAGATGAAACAGAATTTATACGGGGGGAATTTATCGTGACCGCTTACAAGGAGATGTCGCTGAATAGGAGTGGCTGCTCATACAGATTCTACTGTATGCAAAACTCAAACCATGTGATATTATTGACCAATCATGTTATACCTAACTGTATTGACCGTGGGAAGGTGAAAAGGTCATTTCCCATGGCTTACTCGTCCGTAACAAAAATACTACCGTAGTATTTTGGTGTAAACGATGATCACCGCATTTTTTAAACGCATAAACCAAGAAAATAGACATAGCCCAAGACCATTTGTAAACAAGTGGTGGTTGAATGGACAAAGGTCCAAACGACCAAATTCTGTTCCATTTGGCAGCAGGCAATAAAATGTGTTAATTTTATGTAAATTTGAATTAAAAAGGTTTAATTACAAATATTGAAATTTTTGCTTGTTACACTTTGTTTTTGCTTCTAATTTTAAAAATAACAAGGAAAAAATTGCTTGTGGTGTTAAAAATAAAATTCGAACCCTGAAATCTCAAAATCACCTTTTCCACCTAGTATATGGTAAAGACACTGAATTTCAAATTTTACGTTCAAAGTTTGAAGCCACATAAAAATTTACCTTTGGTTAAGCTTGACATATTGTGTGATTAATATTAAAGTGCTGTGCTGTATGTTTTAAACCATTTAAATATTTGAGTATATCCACACTTTTGAGTGTATGAAGTGTGACATCAATAAACAATTTTCAAATCAGTTCAAGACTTGTTTTCTTGACTTGAATCAAAAGATAAATATATCAGCTTGTGGAAAATAGTAACAGGAAGATAAAATAAAGCACATTTATTGAAAAATATTGTTTTGAAGTCGTGTCCTGAAAATTGCTTGGTTGTGACTTTGACATTTTAAAATCTCATATTTATTCAATAAAATGAATGATCATTTGATACAATTGTTTTTTTTATGTGTATTTGTCCCTATATTTTACATATGTATATATATATATAATAGAATTGTTTAACAAAAGTAAGATAAACACAAGTTTGACACAGCTGAATGAACATATGATTTCAAGGAAAAATATAAATTTTTTTCACTGTTTATCTAAGTGGAAAAATGTTTTGTCAAAGCCTTATTTAAAACTAAAATGCATCACTAATACGACTTTTAATGACTTCTGTAACAACATTGTAAGCAAAATCAAAATTAATGGAATTTTTATGCTGGACGTGATTGTTGACAAGTTCTTGGATGTGATGAAATGGATGTGATCATTGACAATAATGATGATTATGGGTGTGATTTTTGACAGGGTCATAATTTTTTAATTGTAAATGAAATGAATGTCCTGCTGCCTGACACATGACTACATATTGGTCTACATGGAAACCATAAATAATCATAAAAACGCAAATGTTACAACATCATGTAACACAACAACAGTTTTACAAGTTTTTGTAAGGTTTGTATACATCTTGCCTTAACCCACCTTGCACTCATACTTGCATGCTTTCACTAGATAAATGTACTAATGCAGTTGTGTGTATTAATAGTTTGCTTATATATGTATTCTCTGCATTTCTGGTGGTGGGCTTTATATAATATATTTTTATAAATCATCATTCATTTTATTCATCTTGTTTTAATCACAATTACTCGATTTGGCAGAGGTAATGGAACATGCAAGACAGTCCCAAGTCTGTATATAAAGAGAGAGGGAGGCATGTCTTATTTGTATTGCAAACTGAATGAATAAATATTTTGTTTACAGTTCGTTTGTTTTTTGTTTTTAGTTTTTCGCTGATTTCAACATTATTTCATTCATATCATGGCAGTCACATAATCTACTTACTGTTCCTGGTTAACCAGTACTAATCACTTACCTACAGGAATCGGCGGTTAGGGAATCATGTTCGTAGACAAGATATCACGACTTTAGAAATTTACACTCTTAAGGCAGGTTCAAACCATCGACCTTCTGATTAAGAATTTATTCAACTTGCTATTCATTTTTTAATGGTCTGACTGCAGACAGAAATTGACTTAGGGATCGTTCACAAATGACGTCAGCTCGGAGGGGGGAGTCAGTGAAAAGTTGACGTCCATGTATTTCTGTCTATCCTTGTAATGTTGACAAGGGGGGAGGGGGTTCATTTTTGGCCAAATTTTAGCGGACGTCATTTGTGAACGGTCCCTTACAATCAGAACTTTAAAACCAAATGCACCAATTGAATGTCTTTATTTCAGAATCATCAAGGAACAATGAGGCAATCAACTGGTATTTAGTAATTAGAATTTTGTTAACATGAACAGTTAAAATGTTTTTATTGAGCACTTCTGTCCTGGATACACTGTATGGGTATTTTTCTCGTGATCACTGGAAAAGTTTATCTGGAAAAAAGAAATGAAAATGCTAACTATCTGCCTGCCTTAAGACAAACAATGTCCCTGGGTTATTTCAATAGGCCAGTGATCATTTATCTATTCCCCTGGTTTCAGAGTATATTATCATGACAGAATCTTGTGATTATTGAGAATGGCATATTCTGTATAAAGCATGTTAAGAACCATTATCATGTGGGACTCACTTTAATGGCAAAAGGTGTGAACACATGTATATTAAACTGCGTAGGCCAGTTGGTTGCAAAATCTAGCTTGATAAAGGTTTGAAGATAATAAATGTCTATTCAGATTGGTGGCGTAACAAAAGACCAAATGATGTTACAGAATGAACTTATAAAAATGCAATGTTAATAATTTAAAATTAAATCCAGAACATGCAATATCAGTATGTTTTTATCTTATTATACACAAGAGTCTGAATATAGTACCTGTAAATTTATAAAGCAGCCTGCTTCCACACATAATGATGTCAGGAGAAACACTCTTTGCCCTAACATCCGTGGCCACTACCGTGTGAGTTGTTTCATTTAGGGACCATAATTTCTTCTTTTTGGTAAAAAATCGAACCCAAGGCCAGACATCAACCTGAATTAAAGGACAATAATTGAACTTTTATTAATAATATTTTTTACAAGAGAAAGAGTACATATTTAATAACCAATTAAAACATAGTTAATGAACTGCATTAAAACAACATTGAAAAAAAATCGGCCAATTTATAGTATTAATTTAATGTGCCCAGTATTCTTCATGATTGAATGGCCCTAAAAATACTTTCATAATATCAAACACTGTGCAATATACATGGCCGGGCTGGGGCTTGAACCTATGACTCCTGTAATAGTATGAAAGAAATGTATGTACAACAGAAGTTGCAAAAACTTTATGAACTGTGAAAATAAAAAAAAACAAAAATTTATTATAACCTTTGTAAAACAGAACTTTCATGAAAAATAACAGCAAATGTTAGTAACAATTGAAAAAGTAACGCAAATTTTTTTTTAACATCCTTACGACTGCAGGTAACAAAGTAGACCCATGTTGAATTATTATGTATTCCCCAGTATGATATCTAAAGAAATTTCAAGATATATTAAAAGGATTAAAGATAAAGTTTCAATTGCCATGATTTTCAGATTAGTTATTCATTATAAAATATTTACATCCCACTACATTTTTCTTCAATGAACTATATTAGTTGGCATTAAGTTCATTACCGTATGAAAACAGTCGTTTCAGGTAGCTTTGGCTTTAGTTTATTGAGTTACTTGAATCACGAATATTCATGATAATTTGGCGTATTGCGTCATTGTTTATAATTTTTTAACCCATGATGATCACTCCGATATAGACGCGCTTATGCTACATTTTATGCCTTTACTTCTATTCTTTTTGAAAAACAACTAAGAATATTAAAATTTAAATGTAACCTAAACATACCTATGGTCTATGGTTGGTAGATTAGCCTGGTCAATGGTTGGTAGATTAGCCTGGTCCATGGTTGATAAATTAGCCTGGTCTATGGTTGATAAATTAGCCTGGTCTAGGGTTGGTAGATTAGCCTGGTCCATGGTTGGTAGATTAGCCTGGTCCATGGTTGGTAGATTAGCCTGGTCCATGGTTGGTAGATTAGCCTGGTCCATGGTTGGTAGATTAGCCTGGTCCATGGTTGGTAGATCAGTCTGGTCCAAGGTTGATAAATTAGCCTGGTCTATGGTTGGTAGATTAGCCTCGTCTATGGTTGATAGATTAGCCTGGTCCATGGTTGGTAGATTAGCCTGGTCTATGGTTGGTAGATTAGCCTGGTCTATGGTTGATAGATTAGCCTGGTCTATGGTTGATAGATTAGCCTGGTCTATGGTTGATAGATTAGCCTGGTCTATGGTTGATAGATTAGCCTGGTGTATGGTTGGTAGATTAGCCTGGTCCATGGTAGGTACATTAGCCTGGTCCATGGTTGGTAGATTAGCCTGGTCTATGGTTGATAAATTAGCCTGGTCTATGGTTAATAAATTAGCCTGGTCTATGGTTGATAAATTAGCCTGGTCTATGGTTGGTCGATTAGCCTCGTCTATGGTTGGTCGATTAGCCTGGTGTATGGTTGGTAGATTAGCCTGGTCCATGGTTGGTAGATTAGCCTGGTCCATGGTTGGTAGATTAGCCTGGTCCAAGGTTGATAAATTAGCCTGGTCTATGGTTGATAAATTAGCCTGGTCTATGGTTGGTAGATTAGCCTGGTGTATGGTTGGTAGATTAGCCTTTTCCATGGTTGGTAGATCAGTCTGGTCCATGGTTGGTAGATTAGCCTTTTCCAAGGTTGATAAATTAGCCTGGTCTATGGTTGGTAGATTAGCCTCGTCCATGGTTGATAGATTAGCCTGGTCCATAGTTGGTAGATTAGCCTGGTCCATGGTTGGTAGATCAGTTTGGTCCAAGGTTGATAAATTAGCCTGGTCCATGGTTGGTAGATTAGCCTCGTCTATGGTTGGTTGATTAGCCTGGTGTATGGTTGGTAGATTAGCCTGGTCTATGGTTGGTAGATTAGCCTGGTCTATGGTTGGTAGATCAGTCTTGTCCATGGTTGATAAATTAGCCTGGTCCATGGTTGATAAATTAGCCTGGTCAGTAAAATCGAAATCCAAAATCATAGAGAGGCCCGATAATTCCATAATGTTTCCATCACTGTAATCTATAATGGGGTCGCTCCACTCATCCATCACCTCTACCCCTTCACCAAAGTCCTCCAGCACAGCATCTAGGTCCCTTGGCACTTCCGTATTTGAATCCACAGGAATTTCTGGGACAAAGTGGTTTGGTACCCAGTTTGTCTGATTCATGTCATTTCTTGTTGAACTCCACATGATTGTAATGGTAGCTTCTCTTAACTTGTCCCTTGGTAGGATATCTCTGTGTAAACCCAATGTTAGTATCTGAGCTCCTTGTGATGGATATTTGGATACCACTTTACAACCAAGAACAGAGGCAATAGCAAATAACTGCCATATTCCCATAAGTTCTTTTGGTTTTGTTGCTGCAACTGCTTCAGCTTCAAATGTTCTTTGTGATACAGCATTTGTAATTTTATCCCCAGCAATATACTGGTCGGAAAATTGAGTATACAAAGAGACTAGGTTTTCGTTGATTGGCTCAGGAATTCCTCTACACAAGTAATCATTGTTAGTGTACATTTCCACATGACAGGACATCTCTACTGCAATTCTGACCCTTATTTCCTCATGGTATTCTTCACATCCATAACATGCAACACTCACAGATCGGGGCAAACAATTTCCATCACCAACAACGACTACTGGGTAACCAAAACTGCACTGACCAGGATGAAGAGTAAGGGCCACTTTGTCTACAGTCAGTTTATTTTTCAAAATAGATACCCCACTTTCTACTTCTACTGTATATTTTTGGTATAAATCTAGTTCTTTTAAGTAGATTGCCCTAGCTTGCAAGTTCCCAAAATTTTTGCATTTGGCAAGGTATTCAGTGCACCTTGCGAAAAAGTGTTGTCTAGTTATCTCTGGTTCTATGATGAGCACATCCGTGTTTTCATCCCTAGTCATAAGTTTGTTTTCTGCATTATCTTCCTTCGACTCCTTTTGCATCTGGGCAGTTTTGGGTGCTTTCTCTGTCTCTGCAACTTTCGGGTCTTTTCCAGACTTTTCAATAGCTGATTTTTTCTGTTGTAACAAAGGTTGCAGTGTCCAATTGTCAACATGGTCGGTTGACTCACAAAGTCCACTCTCGTAACCAATGCAGACGTCGCAGTAGCAGCATAGGTTCCTTGTCCACACTGCATCACCAGGTCCTGTCACTGATGCCACACAGTGGAGAGATCGAGTCCCAACAATGGTCATCAAATTTGAATTATTTCTGTGCGATATGTTTTTCACTAGGAAGAAGGTTCTTTTAGAATGGTTACATTGGTCATCCGTCTCATCCCTCGTCATCTTTATCCTGCAGTACCCAAAAGCATCCTCTGCTGATTGGACTATAACTTCTCTTCTCAAGACCGCATTTCGGATGCTGGATTTGACCACCCCAACACAGGCATCACATGGGCCTTTTCCGTGTCTTGAGCCGAAAAAACACCGATCGGTTGAATGGCTTGTGGAATCAGAAATGTCATGAAAGGCTTGCTTGCTCTTGTATTGTGATGCACATCCGTCAGAGAACTGTACCACATGTTCTATCTTTAGATTTCTCTTATCTGTGAGATGATCTTCAGCCTGTCTGATGAAAGCTTTGACAGCACTGGTGTCATGGTTTAGGTCGTCGGACAGCATCACTAGCTCTTCTTTCACAATTTCATGACAATGGGTGTTTTGACAGTTGTAATATGTCACAATTGGATGAACGGTGACCTGATTGTGAAACCAATGAGCGCTTTGTGCTTCGTCCTGATTGATGCATGTGTAATTCTGTCCAAAATCTAAAACCATAACCACCCAACCTTTTGGGAGGGCCTTGGAAGTGAGATTTGTAAACTGGGAGTGTTCCCACTTGGCGTTGTGCAAGTGAAGACTTAGTGCTTCTACTTCTTTCAGGAATTCTGCTGAGAACTGCTCTCCACTTCCACTTTCCGTAACAAGCTCTTTCCTAGTGCCGTTTTCATGTTTCACAGAGTCCCATAACTGCCAATATACTGTGTCTTTCTGTTCAACTTGATATAAAAGACTCTTTAGTTTGTGCGTGCCACATTCCTCACATTTCCTCTCCACGCAAACTCTTTTGTTGTAGTCTCCTACTTCTACTGGACACATACTGGCTCTGATGAGTGTGTATTTATTAGAAAGTCTTTCATCAATCTCAGTTTCTGATATTTTTTTAAGAAATTTAATTTTGAGTTCTATATTGGCACAGTATTCACACAAGCAAGATATATGTTTTGTCTTTGTTTGGGGTTTAATATGTTTAGGTCTTAAGGAATGAAAACTGCTTTGACTTAATAAAACTTCTTTGTTTTCGGATTTAAAAAAATTAAAACTTTCTTTAATTGTATTGTTCAATACACTTGTGCTCCCTTTTTTTGTTACCTTCCTCATATCAGGAAGAGGTGTCGAAATGTTTGGTTTTTTATAAAACTCAACTTTTTTTTTTGTATCTTCTGAAATTTGGTCTGATCTTTTGGCCCATACATCGTCTTCTTTAACTTTTCTGCACTTTCTTAAGTAGTCATATTTAATATTTGTAGCGCGACTCATCGCATAACAGTTTTTGTATTTCTTCATCATAGTCTTTATGAAGCATCTTCGTTTGATTATGCTCTTACGATCTTTTTGTGTTTTTAGTCTTTTGATTTCCTCAACAACTGCGAACTTTGTCTTGAACGCGATTCTCTTTTCTTTTTCGCCCAATACTCTCTTTTTTTATCAATTTCTGCTCTCGTTCTAGCTTTCTTTGGCGATGAGATGCATGTTTTTCCTGTTGCATCCTTTAGTTTATCCCGATATCTTTGGGAACTGATCCTGCTTTTGGCCCTTTCTTTATCAACATCCTCCTTCGATTTTTCTCGGCCTCTCCATGCCTTTCTTCTCTGTCTATCTTTTTCAAGATGACTAAAAATAAAAAAACAAATTTATATGTTTAGTTAACATCTAAATAATATCAATACCTAATTATCTGTCTCATAAATCAAATTGACACATTTTTTAAACAATGATATGCTGATGGTCGTTTGTGTGAAGTTTCATTATAAAAGGACATCACCTTCACTAAAAACTAACTTGACCAAAAACCTTAACTTGAATGAAATGGACGAACCGACAGACGGACAGACAAACGGAGGTCGTAACCTCAAATTGACACCTATTTTAACCAATGATATGCTGAGGATTATTTGCGTGAAGTTTTATCATAATGGACCGGTCATCAGCTTCACTTAAAACTAATTTGACCAAAAAGTTTAGTCCGACGTTATGGACAGACAAACAAACAGGTCTACTGAAAGCCTATATGCCTCTCATACTGCCAGGGCATAAAAATGGCCGAATGGATTTTAACAAAACTTGGTATTAATAGTCAATTAAAAATATCCACACAAAGTAAACTGTTAAAAAACAGTGAAAGACAAAGACATACATAAAATAAACAAAACTAGTTATGTGGACTTTCCATATGGCATGAAAAGTGGTATCAGGTGTTCCGGAGGGGTAAGCATACCCTGCCCTGTGCACAGTACCCGCCACAAAACAATAACTAGCAATGATACACAACCTTTATGTAATAGACAAATGAGTTTAGTAGGGGAGTTATCCCTGCTATCAGGCACATAAAGGCTATGCAAGTTAGACAGAAATAAAACGTATACAAACAAAAAGGGACTTGGATCATTAGCTAAAAGCTATAAAAAATTATCATCACTACCGCAGACAGACATGACATCCCGTTTCAGCTACATGTTACTGATACTAAGCCTTCTTTTCATAACCATTTAATGCCTGGAGCACTAGCAAAGGAGGCAATAATTTGTCAATTTTAAGTCTCATATTGGGCATGACACA